GTCCTGCATATGCAATTGGCAATACAACTGAAAGAGTCGACCTTCAATTATGGAACGGGCACACTTGCAGACCGGTTTCGGGCTTATTAGCCACTCATCAGTGCAAGATAGTGACCATCATCGACCTAAAGTCAATGATATTCCACAATTGAAAATCGGAATTCCTTCAGAGTATTTCATTCCTCTTCCGAAGCTGAAGCGAACATCACAAAATGTCACTCCATCTAGTGGACGAGGTACTAACCAACTGCATATCCGTAATTTGCCCGATTCCTCTGAATAAGGAAGAAAAACTTTCTTATTAGTCAGTGTAGAAACATTCTAGAAAAACTAAATTCAAACAACGAAATCGTTTTTAAAATTTGTGACCTGATTCCGGTGGTTAGGGCTTCGATAACTAATAGAGATAAAAAATATTAAACATACATGTCTTCTATGAAATGTCATGCTCTATTAAATTTGTGTCATTGAATAGTTCACAAATTGCACTAGAAACTAGATAGGTGGTTTTTGTAATTAAACTTTTACAACTTTATATTCAAGAACGTATGGGATATAGCATATATTAAAAAATCGTAAGAAATTTTATGGTTTGTAAATTTTGAGCATCAAAGTAATGTCAAAAAGTATATTACAATTATTTTGGTAATATCTCATTGTTCAGATTTTAGAGTAAACAGTTTAACTCATTCTGAAGGTATATAAAAACACACCTTATGAATGTTCATGATTTGTTAGAGGTCAAAAGATATTAGTTTTTGCAAACTTTATGATGAAATGGTGATAAAATGATGTAGAGGATTATGAAACAAAACTTTTGCAAGGTGAACGTTACGATTTTTATTTGATTTCATCAATCCTCAATTCAAAACGTCAATAAATGTATAATGATCATAATCAAATATTGAATTTTTTTAAAGAACTATATATCAAGTGTACCTACAGGTTTCTTCTAACGATTTTGAAATTTGTTTGTTTCCTATACATAGGGTGATAGAAACAGATCATAACTTATGGAATATTTAGCATAAGAACATAAGACCATAAGAAATGTATGAACCTCAAACTGGCAAATAATGAATACCAGAATGATTGTTGTTTTCACTCAACACATATTTGAGTCATTAAATGGTACTTGACAATACTTGATACGGATAAGGTTTATTATGATTTTCTTTATAAGAGGTTTACAAAACCACAACAAGTGTTTCGCTATACAATAGCTTTTTTAATCAGAATTAGCTTGAGAAAGGTAATGCATAACAAAACAGGTTCGCGGTTTTATAACCTTTCATATTGAAAATTGAAATGAATATTATTAGTGAGTTTTTGTATTTGAGTCAAGTTGAAAATTATTTTCCTTGATTAACTATTTACAATTTACACAACTATTCATGGAATAAAATCAGAACGGTTGATTTGTTCGAGTCAAACTTGTTGTTAAGACTGCAAGTTTGAAATAGAAATGAACTTACCTCGGCCATTTTGTTCCAAAAGCACTGCGTGAACAGAAAAGACCTTTCACAACTATCTGCTGACTCTATAGCTGTACATATATAAAGGATAAACTCCAAGCTTTCTATTTCAACCTCTGCTTCTTTCAATGAAACTTTTATATCGTGGAGAAGGAATCCCCCTTCCTCATCCATCCAACCATACTTGGTAAAGAGGCAACGTAAAAAACATTTGAAAGCAGCCGATTCGCCAATAACCAGTTTTTTGTTGATCAATACTTCATTAATAGTTCCTGCGAAATGTCAAAATAGTCTGGATTGAGTATATTTATTCGTAAGAAATCAGAAACATCATTAAAACAGAGTGTACCTAGTGATTTGCTCAAAACTTCTCCTATATTGATCGAGATTTACTTCAATTTTTCTCCCCTTCTACCCAGGATGCTTTGGTTCTGTTTTAGTGATGTAAGGATGTCAACTAGTTGCTACAGAGATATAAAAAACTTTTATGGGAAATTTCGGGCCGTGAAGATAGAAAAAATAATAGTAGAAAACAATAATCACAATATTAAAGTGTTGTTTCCTTTCATTTGTATTGAATATTCTTATACATGGTGAACATGTTGGAAGACCTAGAACCTTGGTCCAAAGTAGAATAATTCCCGTTATTATTTTTATAATTACCAACATTCATTTTTGTTTGCGCTTACTCTAACGGGCATAAGCATTCAGCCAATCTTTGGATAGCTAAGTAAGAAAATTAATACATTATAGTAGTAACTAATCCCTTGGTTTTCATTGTTTCGAAAGTTGGGAAATTTAGCTGGTAGGGTTGGGAAAATTTGGATTATCTCCCCCCCTGGTATTTCTTTTCGCTACGGCCCTGATTGTATGTATCGCTGACACTGAAAAACAGTTGTCATTCACAACAGGTTCACCTTCTTACGTTTCCTAAAAGTGTTATCCTTAGGAAACTGAAGCCCAGAATGCTAAGACTTCGGGTGAAATCTTAGCATTCTCGAACTCTTTTAGATTAGGGTTATGCATAACCATCTAATCAACGGTTAGTTTGAGTATATTAAAAGGTATTTTCTCTAGTTTCCAGCATTCTGAATCCATGTTAACCGGTTTACTCATTCGGGAACGATGAAAAGGAATTGAGGGGGTAACTTTTAAATATTTATTAAAACTAATTAAACCTACAAACTGCAATTCTCAAACTGATTTGAGAGGAAACAATAATAGCATTTAGATTTGTGATTCGGTTTTGATCTGAATATGATTTGGAATTAAAATGCAAACATATTTGATATCATTAACAAATAACGAAGTCCGGAAGGCAAGATAAATAAAGTAGATCATCAGCTTGTTTATCTGATTCATGCTTGCATTCCGCTTTTTTTTGGTCACTAGATTGCCTGAGACACTTTGGATGGAAGGAATCATTACATTTGATATACTTCACTTTATTCACTACTTTTTTCGAGCAATGTTTACAAGTAAAATTCTCGTTTTCTGTAGGAGCTGGCGACGAACAACCTGCTCGGCCCGCCATGTTGATTATGTAAGCATGATCCAACCGAGTACCACTGAGAAGGTTTATAGCAGATCGATATAGAGCTCTCTGGTATTAGCTCATGAATAAGGGCGTCTCTGGTGTGATAGTTATTATTCTCTTTTCCAAACAGAACTTATCAGAACGTATTAATAGCCGATACACGGTTTTTAAGAAAACAAGTTCAGTAATGGTGATCTTTTCAAATCCAGTTGCAATTCATTAGAATGTTTGAATTTTTAAGTTTATTAATTTCCATCGCTTCCAAATGATTCAGTTTCAAACCTTTATTATCTATGTGCAAAATTTCGAACACTTCGTAAAAGATATGATTTTCTTCTAGAAGATGATTTGAATATGTTGAATTTGTTTTCTTATTTACATAGACTGTACGGAATCATNACAAAATTTTGTTTATTGGTTCTAAAGGAAGAGGGGAGGATGTTGAAACTTGTTATTTAGATTTTCGAATTATTTTATTTTTTGGAAACACTGGCGTAGAATGAATCCAAAACAAGCACTTCCCAAACACCAGAACTGCAACACTCTCTTCAAGTTGACGTCTTCAAGTCAAGTAAACAGTCTATTTCTTCATTGTCGCCCAATATTTTCAAACAATTATTGTTTTTCTACATGGTTCAAACACATGTTTCAATAAACTTTTGTTATAAATAAGGTTGAAACACAGTAAAACTTGTTGCATAGTTTGAATGCCAAATGTTTTCATTTCCTGTTACGTCTAAAATTTGAGAAACATAATTTTAAAAAGCAATAAATTGAATTTTCTATTTAAGTGACTATTTTTGTTTCGTATTTTTTCTGTATCTGAAAAACGTTGTTTAATGCGCCACGCCGGCTGATATTCAATATAACGAATAAATATCATCATTCAAGAATTCAATTGAAAATGTTTCACATCAAAAACGAACCCTTCAGGTTCTAAACACTTATTTTTTTTTAATTCAATTTAGGTAATGTATTTCACTACTTACTCATACTAATAGGCGACGTTACGTTACAGGTTTTTATGTACTTCAAATCGGTATTAAGATCTTCAGTTGTGAAGGATTCCACTTGCTTAGAACACGCACATAAAAATAAACATATCGCAATGGAACGCGAACAATGCATTTTGGGAGGTGTAAACTTACAACAAATTTAATAAGATAGGATGAATGTTCACATAAACACCAATTATGAAAGAATGATTATTATGAATATTTGCTACTCATCTGAACTTTTATCTATGTTGCGAAAGGAAGTTGGAGATTTTAAATGGGCGTCATTATTCATTATTGGGGTATTTTCCGTTGAAAATATTATACAACATTCACGATGAATCAGAAACTTTTAGCTCAGAAGTTGTTAATTACTACATACTGCGTTTATTATTTTCACGAAAGTTTGAAAATTCATTAGATGTTCATCGTTGTACGGTGACATCGCGGTTAATATCTCTCGTAAAATAAACCCCTTTTATTTCAAACCAACAGATATCAAACTGAAGGCATTTTCGGTTTTTACTTCGAATATTTCCTACCTGAAGAATGTTTTTTACTAGAATCTACCCGAACGAGATTTGTATGTACGAGCAACAGAAGTTTAGAGATTTTTTACAAATACTAATCATTATTTTACTTAATTAATTCAGTACTCGTACGCTTCTGGTTGATGACTACACCACTGTAAGTTACACTTACTTGCTTGTAACTGTAACCATCTTCTGTCAAACAAATTTCAAATTATTTGCCTTCAGTAGCTTCTTATGTCCTAGTCTAATGTGGCATCATGAAAGTTCCTCATCCCTCATAATACCAAAATCAGAATAACGAATTATGAAAAACAAATTTATAATAAGAAGAATAAAATAGATTGCTTCCAAACTTAAGGCCTAATTCGAACTTTGGTTTTCCAGGTTGGGTAGCCGTAGTCTAATGGAGAGATTACGAGTAAGTAACTCTGAACGTTTCCGTTTCACCCATAACTACGATGGGCATCTTCATGACTCAAACTCACAAAAATCAGTGTGCTATCAATGGCACAGTATGAATTCAGAAATAAATTCATTCGTAGAAAATAAAGAATTTACTAATAGGTGGGTCCAAAGTTAGCGTTTATTCGACCCGCCACTGCAAACCGCAAGGATTTATCGTGGTTCAGACTTATTCAATTTCCGACCAATAAGTTAAACTTCTTCCAGATCGAACGGAAACTTTGCCAAACTCATCATCTTCCGACAGTCCCACTCTTTGTTTGATGATTCAGACGACGGTGACCTGTAAGTAGGCCTGTTAGACAACATGTATCATATATCTGGTTTAATTTACCAATTTTTTAATAATATACTTCAAAGGATATATAAATACCTTGGAATGGACCATTCCCAGCAGATTTTGGCAGAAGTGTGAAACACTTTTTGCAGTCCAAATATTCAGTGTTCTTTTGTTCTTAAGTTTCATTCGACCATAGCCAACCAGCCTAGATTTTGTCCTCTCTAATCAAAGATTATTTGTCGAGACTTCCTATTGGGGAAAGTCCTTTAGTCCTTTTTGGCAGTTCATTACCAACTTGAACGTTATAGATGAGATATCCACCGAAATTTTCGATTGCGTTACAATCCTTCAATCACATTATTTTTTCATTATCCATAGAGGACATGGGTGTAGTAGGGCACAAATATCAAATATACGCAATACATAACACTTATGTTTCATATATAAGTAGTAGATCTGATTGAGGCGCTATTTTGCCTAGTTGTGAAATTATATCAAGGTTAAATTATATTTTATAACGGACGTGTGAGGATATTTTAAATAGATAGTCAAAGCATTCTAGCGAGTTCTAGGAGATTTCGAGAGTTCTAGAGAGTTCGAAAATTCACAGTCTTTTTCGCTTCCAAGACCAAGACTAAAGACAGTTCTGTATTGAGTATGTTAGGGAAAAGTAATTAGTCATTACATTAATAAAAATATGTCAATTTTGCCTTCATTATTTTTGTAAATTCACGACAGTAACTTCACAAGGTCACAAGTGAATGGGTCTATTCGACCCTCCACCGCAACCCGCAAGGGTTTCTTGTAGTTCACATAAGTGGTATTCAGAAGTATTTTCAATCATCACTCTGTTATTTGAATCCCTACTTTCCCACTCATCTATATAAACGATTCTAAACGCCTTTTTCTTGAAATGGTTGAAATTAATAAGTCTTATGTTTCGAGAGTTCTAGAGAGTTCGAAAATTCACAGTCTTTTTCGCTTCCAAGACCAAGATTAAAGACAGTTCTGCATTGAGTATGTTAGGGAAAAGTAATTAGTCATTACATTCATAAAAATATGTCAATTTTGCCTTCATTATTTTTGTAAATTCACGACAGTAACTTCATATAAATGGAAGTCTAGTCATTGGAATTAAAATAATAGGTCTATAACAAATTTCCAAGAGTTAATACATTTTTATAAATACTAAGTGACAAAGAAAGGTAAACACCCATTTATATGGAAAATATTTCAATAATGTCTTGCATGTATATTTATGTTGAGGCTAATAAAAAGCCAGTAAAATTTCAGCCATATCGGCAGCTATTCTGGCCAGTTTTTAACTACTTTTTTTGTCGGAGCATTTACCATTTCTCCAATGTTTATTCTTATTTGTGTTTTAATTGTTAAAGAGTTTGTTGTAAAGTGTTTCGTATTGTTAACACTAATATACCTCGAGTGCGAAGACTTCGTCGTATTCCTCAACTTAGTGATTTTGAGAGAGAACGAGTTGTTGGCTCACGTGAGTAAGAGAAATTTCAAAAAGAACCAATTGATCTTTGCGTGAGATGTTATCAGGCATGAACCCAATAAGACCAAGAACACAGAGCTAGGGGCACCGGTCGTCGCAGCGGAACAACAGCGTGTGAGGATCGCCGATTAAGACTTTTGGCTCATAGGGATCGGTTAATTTCTACCAGGCAATTGCTCTTCAGTGGTTTGAAAAACACGGAAGGGTTGTTGGAATTCGCACAGTATATCTGCTAATAAGAAGTTTTGGACTGCTTTCTTATCATCCCCATTGGGTGTTGCCACTGACTCGAGCATCGACGTAACCGATTGCACAGTTGCAGAAACAGAATGAATTGGGATCAACCGTGGAAACGCGTGGTCTTCAGCGTTGAATCTCGCTTTTGTTTGTGTATGCACGATGGACGAGCAAGAGTAAGAAGGCGTCGTGGTGAAAGACAGGATCTCCAGTTTGTTGTGGAGAGGCATGTTCACCATACTGTTGGTTTGGTGGTATGGGGTGCCATTGCATATGGTAGCAGGACACCTTCAGTCTTTATTAGAGGCAACATGACAGCTCTTCGTTACATTCACGAAGTAGTGGAGCCTATGTCCTTCCATATCTTGAGACCATCGAAAACCCCATCTTTCAACGCTTGACCGCATGGGGCTAGAGTAACTCTAGAGTTCATGGATCAGCGTGACATGACCGCTTACCATGGCCACCAAGATCGCCAGATCTTTCACCGATCGTACATGTGTGGGATATTCTTGGTCGCTGACTGATGAGTTTACAACAGCCCCCACAGACTTTGGCAGCACTTAGACATGAGTTAGAAATAGGGTGGAATGGAATACCTCAACAGGCTATAGACCGCCTAATCAGGATAATGCCCAGACGTACCCACGAGTGTATAATACATCGAGGATCTGCAACACACTACTGAACTTCACTGGTTTCACGATCATCCAATTTTTCTGAAAACCTACTCGTTTGTTTGCTGTTATCTGTCAAGTATGTAGGTAAAAAAATATTAAAATATTTTCAATAAAAATNTCGACTGTATTTTTTTGAGCAGTTTATATGAATATTTGTTATGTTGAGCAGTGTTTAAACGATTTGGTTGCGTGCCTGTCTTGAACTCGTCGTTTGCGCAGACCTGAGACTGCAACTCCTGGGTCTGCGTGTAGAAAATTCAAACCAAAAATCACCCGAAGTGGGATTACTGTATATAGTATACTGTGTCAGTACCTTTAGATATTGATCATGACGCCTCCTGCTTCTGATGATTGAAAAAAATATCTTAAGTGCTTAATGACCATAAAAGTGAAATGATAACAGTTGACAGACGACAGTAGAATAACTTAATGGCATAATTGCATATTAATATTATTCATACATAATATTCAGTGAGAAGGTAAAACTTTTACCCCCATCTTCACTCAACAAACTCGGACAAAGTTTACATAAGGAAGCATATTTTTCAGTACCTACTTTTTAATTGGAAAAACAATAGTGTGGCATCATTTTTTATCAAGAGGACGCTATTAACCTTTCTTCATCGAATGTTTTTCAATAATCTATCGAAATCGGACCACCCGCTTCTGGGTAATTGATAGTTTACATTCTTTTGAAGATACAGCAAACAAACAATACATATCAGAATCTCACTCCTGCGTTGGAAATAACAGGAACAACAATTCGAACACCAACTCGGGCACTGCGACCTTCACCATATCCCGTTTGATAATGTCTACCGCCGCAGTAGACGAAACGTCAGGTGAAACCCGGGAAATAGATTTAACACAATAATGGAGTCAGTTTACATATGAATTTCTCATATCAGTAGTCGGTTGATGACTATGAAAGGTTAGTTCTACTATGTCAGTCAACCACTATGTGAGATTGGTACGAACTCAGCTATAGGATTCTGGATGTTCATTATTTATTCAACCCGTGCTAGGAATCGCTCACTGAAAGTTGAGATCTCGCTAATCCTTAGCTCCCACAAGTTTTGAATTTTGAGGGGGCGACAGCTGATTAACGGAAAAACAGATTTTGAAAGATTTTCAACATCATGTATACTATCCTATTGCCTTAGCTAGCTCAGAATTGAACATATTTATGTTCTTCACGGGTCCCCTTGACTCAAGGGAAAGAAGATTTTGGATCTAATCTCGCTGAAATCCAGGTCGAAACTCACATTTGGCCACGACTTAGAAACGAATTTTGAAGTGATAACTGACGTATAACAGACAGAAGGATGGGGGTTGGTGTAGAAGTGATAGGGTTGAGATTTACGTTTTCCAGACTCCTTGAGAGGATCCCCACCAGTTTTCAGACAATCTGTTAAAAATCTGTTTTCCCGTTAACCAGCTGTCGCACTTCTACGAACGACAACGCTCATAAGTCGAAACTTGTGCGAGCTAAGGACTAACGAGGTCTTACCTTTTAACATGTGATTCCAAACACGGGTTGGACGATAGCAAGTGAAAATTGACGAAGGAGGGATCCAAAATTGCTTTCTCTGAGCCAGAAACTCACAATGGAAACTTGATCAACTAAGATATCATTGAAATAAAATGTACAAGATAAAATCTAAGGAAAAGGTTGATTAGCCTATCGCCAAAGAAAACTGTCAGTGTCTAAAAGCTTTTTGAAGGCACAATAATTTATGACGAATCTGTTCTGAATACATAATATCGCTATTTAAACTTCCTACAAAATGGTACTTTGGTTAGTACTGACACCGAACTCTTTCGAAGAAACACGCAAATATGACGATTTTTGCTTCCACATTATTTACAATGGTGTTTTTCATTTTTACAAATTTATTATCTTGTTTTCCACTAGAGGAAAGCGATAATAGTGTGGATAATTACGCTATACAACTACCAATCTTCGGGGAAAATGCATACAGAGAACCTGATCCGGAAGCTGGAAAAAGATTAGAATCTTGGAACGTAACAAGCGAACAAAATCCAGAGGAGTATGAAATGTATCTGGAAGGAGATATCCTTATTCCAGCCAAGTCCAGAAACGGTTTGGTGAGTGAGGCGTTCCGTTGGAAAAATGGGGTAATACCATATGAAATATCTGGCGACTTCCCATCAGATGGTTTGAACATGATTACGAGAGCGATGAATCTGTATAAAAAATACACCTGCGTCAGGTAATATTTTTTATTCTAGCTCAGTAAATACTTTTCTTATAACCAATCAATTTTAGTGAAATTTTCACTAAAGAATTCACAAAACTGCAACACGTGTTTCA